GCAAAGGAAGACCAGGGGGTATGCCACAGGTGATTTCAAAGTAGGGACAGACTGAGGAAGTGGGAGTAAGGAAAGCTTCACTGTGGACAAAGTGGATTGTGGATGGAGTAGTTCCATCCGGCCTGAGCACAGGCTGAGTGGAACAGTGGTGATAAAACCTAAATGAGCAGGCAGGTCCAGGTTCCGTCGGGGCCTTCACCAACAATTTATTTTCAGGGTCTTTCTACAGCAGCACTGTTGATAAAGACCAGCTAAGTCTTGGTGTGGCGGGTTCTGCCCTGCACTGGAGGATGTTTACTAGAATCCCTGGCCTCTACCCACCAAATGCCAGCATCTTCTCCCCGCCCCGATGCGGTGCAACCACACACATCACGGGCACGGCCAAATGTCTCCTGGGTGGCAAAATCACCCCAGTTGAGAGCCGCTGATGTCAACGAATGACAAAACCTGGCTGGGCAGCGCACTTGCAGCTTTCAAAAGGGGCCGCACCTCCTCTAGGAAGCAAGCCCGCCTGGTCACCACCCTGACCCATGGATGCCACCCAGGGTGGCTCAGGAACGCCAGCCCTGACACCCAGCCCTGATTGTCCGTACAGCATGGAGGGAGGCTGGGGCACTGGTTCCACGCGTTTCACAGACCCACTGACTCATCCCGGCCACATGGTCATCTGTGGCCACACCAGGGTCAGAGCCCTGAGTTTCCTTATCCTCCGCTGCTATTTCTCTGCAGAGGACAGTTTAGGAATCAAAGAACCAATCTTTCGAGAGAAAGAAACAATTTCCATCTGCCTTGACCCTCCCCTTCCTGCCACACCCCCAACCCAACACACACAAAAACCCAGGGTCCGCAAATACACTGCTTCTGAAAGCGGGTTCGGTGATTAACTTTTTCCTTGGTTTGCAAGGGGAAAAACAGCCCTGGAAGCAGCCCTCCCTAAGGAGTGGGGCGGCAGCACCGCACAGACAAGTACCCAGTAACTGGGCCCTCCCAGCCTTCTCTGGCATCTGGCGAGGAAGTCCTGAGGTTTCATTTTTCACACTCTGGCTGGGGCCTGCCCACCAGACGGGAGGGTTCAGACTGGGATGCCCGTTTTCCTTCAGACGCCCGGGTTCTTCCCTGCGTACTCTCGTTCCCAAGGTAAAGCACCTGGGCCACTTTGCAGACGGCTGCCTGCGGCCTGGGACACGTCCATTGTTACAAACGAGATTTCTCCACCGGGAAATACCTGCTCGTTTCCCCCGGCGCTGGGGTGGGATTTACTTTAAGCAGACCTCTCTCGGGGGGAGCCAGCCGAGACACGGCCACACACAGAAGCCCAAAGCTAGACAAGAACATGGGGAGTGGTGAGATGGCCCAGCAGAGTGACAAACAAAACCATGTTGAAATAACCTCTCTGACTTCTCTTTAGAAACTTTTCACATTGCAGTGGCTCAAAAGTCCTGTGCAAACATGTTCTGCCGTAAAAAGAGTGTGTGACCTGGTGCATTTTGAAAGCTTTGCAGAAAGCAATAAATAGTGCCAGTTCTTTTCCTGAACATGGGGTTTGAAGGTTGTTTTATTTAAGCTGGAATTTTGACAAGGTTTTTCTCTTTTTGGCATTGAAACCTCTTTAAACACAAACACGACGTGGTACATCAGAAACAGTCAAATGCTAGACACCTGTTATTTGCCTAAGAAACAGACACATTGTATTTGTTTACATAATGAGTATATAAACAGAATTCTTAGCCTGGGTGCTAGTGAAGGTCATGGATCCTGTGACTGGTTTAGAATGAGTCTTTTAACCTCTTTAATTAAATGTGAGTCCATGCAATTCAAGAACGATTTGCTGAACTCCAACAATCAACAGTCTAGGACAATGGAG